GGGGGGGGGCACCGGGGAACGGTGGGAGAGGGGGGCCTGGGGGCTCGGTCGAGTGGGAAATATGGGCCAGCACTGTGCCGCGCCCCTTCCCAGGGTCCTGCCCTCAACTTTAGAAGTATTTTTTCTTCTATCTGAGTCCCTTCCCTCCCTTCGCCAGTCCGTTTCTCTCATCGCCCGCCCCGCTCTCTTGTTGTCTCCCCCCTCCCCTCACACTCGGCCCCTGTTATCTCCCTCCCCCGATCCCCCGCTGTCCGCAATCGCGACCTCCTGCTCTCTCTCTCTCTCCCCCTTCTTCTCCTCTTCCTGCCCACAGAGATGCTCTCCATCGTTCGTTCCCTCCGCCCCACCGCCGTCACCCAGATGGTTGCCGCCCGCGGCTACGCCACCGGCACTGTCAAGTGGTTCAACATGACCCGTGGCTTCGGCTTCATCACCAACGAGGAGGATGACAAGGAGTACTTCGTCCACCAGACCAGCATCAACATGATCGGCTTCCGCGGCCTGATCGAGGGTGAGCGCGTCCAGTTCGACATCACCGAGAACGACAAGGGTCCCTTCGCCACCAACATCTCTGCCCCCGATGGCCGTCCCCTGCACACCGTCCCCGGCCGTGAGCTCCGCCCCCCCGGTATGCACCGCATCCTCCCCCCCTCTCCCCCGCCCCGCCCCGCCTCACGCATGCGTCGGTTGTGGCCCGCTTTTGGCCCTCCTTCCCATCCAAGCTCTTCTTCTCACTCATTTACGCTTCCTTTCCCGCCTCCCCCCCTCTCTCTCTCTCTCCCCCCCATCTTCCTTGTCCTCTAGTTCCCCGTGACGAGGGCCGCTTCGGCTCCCGCCGCCCCCGCCGCTTCGACGAGGACCGCGAGTAAATTGTGCGCCATAGCCGTTTCCCTATGCATTCCCCTCTTTCTCTCTCTCTCTCTCTGCTCCATTTCCTTCTCCCGCCTTCTCCCCGGCATCGCATGCTTACCTTCGCCTCGCCTGGTGTTCCCCCGTTTCCTCCCCTCCCGGTGTCGGTGTTGCTTCTGTCACGTCAGCTCCATGCCCTCATCTGGACGAATGGCCCACCCTGGTGTTGGGCCCCGCCTCATGCGGTAAGAGAATGGCCCGTGAGAGATGCAGGGAGGGGGATGAGAGCGGCATCTCCATGGCGCCATCTCTCTCTCTCTGTCCCCCCTCCTCCCTGCTGATCCCCTGTCCTTGCTTTCTCAGCCTTCCCCCCGCGCGGGCGCCCGACCGCCGCGCGCACCTCCTTCCTTGTCCCTCGCGCTGCGCGCGGGCCCTCACGCGTGTGTGGTTTGATCTGCCAAGAGAGGCGCGCCTCCCTTCGTAAGAGGGGGGTGGACCGCACACATGTAGGGGAGAGAAACAGAGGTAGGGGTCCGGGCGGACGGTCTGGTGAAGAGGGGAAGGAGCGAATGCGGGCTTCTTCTCATTACTCGTGAGTGTTTTCATGGGAAGTCGTCGCGCGCCCCCACAGGGCATGTCCCTCACCCTTCTTTCTGCAGATATATACGCGCATGCATTCTCGTGCCCCCTCTCCCCTTCTCTCCTCCGTCCAGCCCTCCCTCTCTCTCTCTCTCTCCTCTTCCCCCCTCTTGGCCTGCTTCTCCCCTCTCCCGTTCACATTCGCCCCAATAAAATATATATAGTAGCCCAGCCCCCCCTCCCACGCAAGGGGCGTACGCCCATGTCATTACAAGGCACACACACACACACACACACTATAGGGCGCGCGCGGCGCCTCCTCTGCATTCCCCCCTGAAAGGAGGGCCCCAGTTGGGGGGGGGGGGAGGAGCAGGCTAAGAGGAGGGACGGGTGCGCTGTCATTCTGTTTGGTGCTTTTTTGTCTCTCGTAAATCCACATGTGCCTTTGTGTGTGGCTCTCCCCGTGTGTAGATACCGGCCACAACAACGGTATCATCTTCATGAGCGGACATGGCCCGAGCGCGGGAGCGAGAGAGGGAGAGAGATATCCCGACCGAAGGTGTGAGGACCAACAACCCCTCCGGCTCTACATGGGGGGGGGGGGGGGGGGGGGGGGGCCAGGGGGTGGGGGGGCCTGTCCCCCCCCCCCCCCCCCCGTTGACACTTGGGAATCCGGACGGGGGTGGCTGGGCCCCGCGCCACATGCGGACACATTCACGCCAGGGAGGGTGGTCGCGCGCCAGGGCCACGTTGCTCGCCGGTCCTTCACGTCTTCTTCCCAGGCGAGGCCCAGCGCTGGGATCAGGGTGCGAGGCATGCGCTACTTTGACTTGTCCCTTGTCCCCGGTGCCGCGCGCATGCGGCCCGTGCCCGCCGTCCGCCCTTAGTCCCCCTGGGCGCCCTTCGGGTGTTGGCCCCTCTTTCTTTCGCTCTCTCTCTCTCTCTCTCTCTCTCTCTCTCTCTCTCTCTCTCCCTCGGACGGATCTCGGAAAAATCACTGTTCCGATGAACGCCGACGCCTCGTGATCAGGACCGGCAGTTCGGTCACACGTTCAGGCCCGATCGGGGCGCGGATCGGCGAAAATGTCCACGCCCATTTTTTGAGGGACAAAGCGGCGCGGAGGGGGGGGGGGGGGGGGAGACAGCGGAGCTGTGGACACCATCTTTCGGATCTCTCGCCACATCCTTGGGCCCTGTGCCAAGTCGGGGCGGCGTGCGGGTCTATTCCTCCCCGGCTGGCAGGGTCTCCTCGCCGGTCTGGTCGGCCTCAAGGCCGCCATTGCAGCAGAGAGGTCGCCGGAACTTGGCCTGGATGAAGAGGCGCTTGAAAAGCATGCCGGTCTTTCGGTTGGTATACTCCCGTGGGACGACCTCCAGCTCGAGGATCTCAAAGCCGGCTTCGGTGAACAGACGCTGCACGAGCTCTTTGGGGGGCGCCCACCCCCGGGGGACAGGGGGGAGGGAGCAGTGGTGTGTGTGTGTGTGTGTGTGTGTGTGTGTGTGTGTGTGTGCGAAGGCGCCAGCCGGGTTTGGGGTCGTGTGGATGTGTGAGTGCCCATCAAGGGGACGCGGCGGGCGCCGGGGGCCGGGAGGAGGAAATGCGAGTGGGAGTGAGGCGGCGTACCCTGGGAGAAGTAGTATGCCAGAGTGCCATCATGCCGGGCATACAGGTTGTCGTCCACCTTGCTTGATGGCTTGAAACGAAGCTGCGCCTGATCATACTGGGCATAGTCGCGGAAGAGAAGGGTCCCACTGCCCGGACGCAGGATCCGGTGGATATTGCGCAGCATTGCAGGCATGGCCTCCACCGGCAGGGCCGACAGGACAAACACCAGGACGCAAAAGTCCACTGCACCACGGTCAGCGGGTTGGAGGTGGCGCGCCAGGGTGCCGAAGGGCATGGCCCCGGCTGGCCCGGGCGAGTGTGGCCCCGGGCAGGCCGCGGCATGGACGCGCTGCCGTGCCTGCGACACATCCACCTCCGGCCGGAAGCCGGCCCCCACAAGGTCGCCGCACCGGCAGGTCAGGTGCGGCGGGGGGCTGGTATCGCACGCGCGGGCCAGATTGCCGGCTTCCTCCGGGCCGATGGGCAGCTCCTCGGCCTGCGAGGCATCGGCCACAAAGGCCGTCACCCGATCCGCCCGAAAGGCCGCATGCTGCTGGACAAAGTTCACCGCCCGGGGGGAAATGTCACAGGCATACGCCCGGAGGTGGGGATTCAGCGACAGCATGGGGAAAAGGAAGTTCCCGACACCACAGCCAACCTCCAGCAAAAGGGCATGCTGTGCAGCCGGGTCAAATGCATGGCCCAGGTCATCCAGATCGCCCGGGGTCACGGTCGCCAGGTCATCGGTGTCAGGCGCAGCATGGGCCACCTCCGCAGGTTCGGGAGCTGTGGGTTCGGCCATGGCCGGACCATCATCGGCATCCGGGTGGTGCCGCGCGCGCTTGGCCACCGGGGCCTCCGGATCGGGGCAGTCTGTGCGTTGATGCACGGGACAGGGGGTGGCCAAATAGAGCTCGTGGAATTCGCGCCGCGTCCAATGCCGGTCCCGGAAGAAGTTTGTCTGATTGCGCATGTAGAACTTGTCCCAATTGCGGCCGATCTGTCTCGTGTGCGAGACGAGGCAATGGCGGGGAGGAGATCGAAGCAGGTCAGACAGATGGGCCGGGCGCGCGCGCGCGCGCGCGGGGGGGAGGGGGGGGGAGGCCGCAGATGGGGGAGGCAAATGGGGGAGGGCGCATACCTCGCGGCGAAGTTTGTCGACCTTCTCCGGCGCCATGGACACCGGATCCGTGTTGACGCGGGCGATGGCCGCCTGGCGCCAGTCGTCAAAGTCCGCGGACATGGCCTGGGCGAGATCAGATCCGGCTGCACCGTGGGTGGTGCCGGGCTCGGTGTCGTCGGCTTCGGTGGCGCGAGGGCCATCGACGCTCGCCGCGTCGGGACTGACCAGCGAGGCCGATTGGGCGCCTTCCGAGGTGGCGGAGATCGTGGCGGCCTCCGAGGCGGGGGTGAGGGGATCGAGGCCGCCCATTCCAGCAGTCGTGACGGGAACCAAGCGCACAAAGGGGGCGCGCGCTCACGGTGTGCGTGTCTATGTGTATGCAGGTGGAAGGGGGGTGCGTCCGGATGGGCGATGGGGAGAGGGAAAGGCAGAGGGGCAAAGACAGGCAGGGAGGAAAAGGGGAGGGCGAGCGGGGGAGGGGGGGTGTTGCGAAAAGGCCGCCTCAGAAAGGTGGCAGCGTGTTTCAACCGCCCTGGCCTTGCCCCCCTCCTGCCTTGTGAGCGGCACCAGCAAGGGAAAAGGGGGCCAAGTGCGTGTGCCAAATCCGACCTACCAACGCTCTCGTCGTCCAGGTGCTTGATCGGGCCATGCAGGCTCTGCGATTGCAACGCACCGAATCTACAACAGCAATCTGGAATCCGACGAGAACCTTCGGGAGAATGCCATTACGAACACAATTCAGACCCTAGCGACTGGCCCGCGCCAGCCCGCGGGTCTCGGGGCCTTGTGGTTGGTATGCGCGGCGGGGTGCGGCAAGGCGAGGCGACGGTCCGCCGGGCAGGCAACCTGCAGGCTCGACGCAGGTCCGTTTTCCGGTACAACCTGGGAGCGACGCGAAGTGTGGCTCCAGGCGCACACGTCCTAGGTCCAGGACCAGCGCGATCGACCGACGTGCCTTGTTATCACCTCGCCAGCCTTTGTCGTCCCCTCGCCCGCCCCCGCGCGCCTTTGTCCCTTCGCCCCTCTAGGCCTCGTGTGGCCACCCCTGGGCGGCTTTCTGCCAACGTGGATCTGGTACTGTTTTTGCGGCTGTGAACCCTGCACCCGGAGGCCAGTCCACGCGCGGGGGTACCTGCGCACAAAGGGCGCACAAAAGGGCGGGGCCCGGGGGCCGGCCTTAGCTTTAGAAGGGGCCGTTATGTGCCATGTGGCCCGGGTGGTTTGTATGGCCATCCGCGAACATTGTTCTCATCCGAGGCAATGGGGGGGGGGGGGGGGCTTGGACGCCCGGGTGCGTCTCCTCTCCGGGGCCCGACCTGGCATCCGACTGACAACGTGTTTGGCCTGCGGGTTCTGGGAGGCAGGGAGGGCGGGAAGCGTGCCCTGTATTCGGTGGAGGGGGGGGGGGGGCCTTGTTGTGAGTGTCCGGGGTGGGGTGGTTGGGCACCCGGAGGGCCCGCAAGAGACCGGGCGGTGTTGGATCTTGCCATGCGGGCGCCCCTGGCCCCGAGGAGGCGCAGGTGGTCTCTGCCTCATCGTCTGGCTTTCCTCCGCCCCGACCCCGTCCAAAGGAGGGGCCTGTGTGGTGGCCTCCTCCGTGGTGCGCAGAGAGGGGGGGGGGGGGGGGGCTGGCCGAGGGCCGGGGCCATGCGTCCGAGAGCATGACGGTCGGGAGCCACGCGTGTGGCCGGCTGTGCGCGGTTGAGGGGTCGGTCCAAACTCGCGCGTATGAGTTTGTCCCCCCCCCCCCCCACACATACACGCAGACCACAAGTGCGCACATGCGCACGCGCACATGCGTAGGCCTGTCGGGCAGTCTCCTGGTTCGGCTCGGTAAAACTGTCCGTGTCTCGGGGATGAGCCATTTCCGGCCTGGCACTTGCCTCCCCCTCCCCCTCTCGGAGGACGCATGGGGCAGCCGGGGGAACGGAAGGGTATTGGCGGAACACACGGCAGACGGGACTGGGGCGGAGCAGGGCGGGTGGCCAAGTGGCTGGGTGGTCGGCTGGGGG